TTTTTTATTAGTTCTTATAAAAAAAAGAAAAAAATAGATACTGTGAACAAATCTATATTTATATAAAATACTACTAAAATACTAGGTAAAATATGGAAAGTTATATTCAAGTAAGGTCAAATGTCGCTGTCGAACCTATAGGTGAAATGTGGAATGCAGACAAGAGGTTAGAAATCATGAATGATTCTATAGTCTTCTATAGTTTGCAGCTACAAATATAAGATGGTAGTATAGTTTGGCCTCATAACTTACTTTAACATCTCGTATCTCACTCAGAAACTTATCATTGCAAATTAGCTTCAATATACAAATGTCAATTGACATTTTATCTATTAAAATATTTTAATTACAAAATTTTTAAATTTAAAATATTTGTGCATGAATATAATTAAATAAATTAAAAAAATAAAAGATTTGCAAAATTTATTCTGGAATTTTTCTGCATTTTTCTTGTTTGTTATTTTAACATTGAGAGTCTATAGAAGTATGCAATTTATCTGACTTGACAGTAATAGATATCTATAGACATTATGATGCTTGACTAGGATTCATATCCATCTGATCCTGTGTGCAGAATAAGCACATAGTTCATAATACATAGTTGTAACACTTTTCAAGATATATGTTCTCAATTCATATTGAAAAAAAATGAATTTGTGAAATGGTTACATACTTTTTTCTAATAAAATATTAGTCTTAGAAAAATGGATTATATTATATATAACGAAGCAAATCATTTAATTATGCATTTATAAATAGATATACATATTATCTATACATAAGATAATTGAGATTTTATTTTATATAATATATAGTATAATATATTTAATATAATATAATAAATCTAATATAATATATCTATTATATTATAATATATAATAGAGATTAATTTTACTCTATTAATGAAAAAATTTATTGACTAGGTAAAAATTTCTTAATTTTCATTAAGAAATTGTCCATTCAAATATAAAAAAAATATATATGAATTTTGAAATCACATAAATTTTTTCATTCGAAAATTGCAACTTTAACGACAAGTATGACGCTTAAATTGCAAATTTTACAGGTCATAAAAATGCAAGCATATGCAATTCGCGTAATATTGCATCAGTATCAGTCAATTTCACAAACAATCATTTTAATACGAGTTTGTCTTAATTATAAGATTGCTCGATTGCAATCTAAAAGTAAAGCAAACTCAAAACTTATAACTTTCTACATTTTATTATATTAAACTTTCTATATTAAACTTTCAAGTTTTATAGAAAAAAATGTTCATATTGAAGTTATACAACAATCTTTACAAAATTTTTCAACTACATTATATTTTCTTATATATATATTTTTTTAAACATACGATATATATTAATATAAATTGTTAACAAAATTATATACAAAGAAAAGATTCATCAAGTATGGTATGTAATTGAACAAAACATTATATTTTTGTTGCAGTAAAATATGCATAAAATGAACTATGACGATAGCTCGTAACTTTCTCTATTGCAATAAGATTTACGATATTACAAACACATAGTGCCAAAAAAAGTACATAGGAAATAATTATGAAAGAAACAAAAATTCTTTTATATATATATATATATATATATATATATTTGTTATTTTATAAAACTTTTTTCTATATTATTATAATTATGATATATTATTATCGCTATATTTTTATAATTATGAAATATTAATTTGCATGCAGAATGTTAATTGGTTTTAATTTACTTAAAGTTATTACTTTCACTGTTCTTAATAACGAAGAGAGTTCTTTTTCAAAGAATAAATATTCTGATTATTTAACATTTATTTTTACATTATAATATTTTTACATTATATTTTTACATTGAAATTACAAAGTTTTTCTTATATTTAACTATTAATTTTTGAAATACAAAGAATATTTTAATTTTCAAAAAATATTTGAAATGATTAAAGAAAGAAACATTTTTTTAAAGAAAAAAATAATTTTTTATTTCTTAATTCAAATGCATTTTTAAAATTTAAAAGAAATATCTAGAGAAATTATTGTTATTAAATTAAAAATCGTTTAATTTTCAACATTTTTAGCAAACATTAATAAGTACATGTATTACTATTCTAATAAATATATATTCATATAGTTAATTTTTGCACATGTACGATAATTATTACATAGTGATAATCTATACTGTCAATAATAACGATACTAGCTTCACCATAAACTATACATGTATATATACATGAATATAGAAGGAAAGATTAATTCGGATGAAAGTTTGCTCTGGGCAACTTGGGTTCTATTGATCTCATTTTATTCTCGATCTTCTTACAAATTTCCATCTGTTCTCATTAAGTTGGAAGCGATATAAATAAGAATAATAATAATAATTTTATATATATATATGTGTATCATTCATATTTTTAGAAATTTAAAGTGCAATACACTCTCGTATCAAAAAAATCTCTGGTTTTTTCTTATCATATTTAGCAATGAGAAAAAAAAAAATCAATGAAAATAAGAAAAACTCAACTTCCGTCAACGAGTATTTCCTTGACCGAGATATACTAAGGCGAATGGGAAAAAAAAGAAGTGCGAAGAAAAAAAAACCATAGGTTGAACTATACACGTATACGCCGACGAAAGTAACCGGTTGCGCTTTCTCCTTCTGCAGTCAGATTCCTGTATCTTTTTCTTCCTTACTTCCTCCGTATTCGAGTTTTATCGAAATGCAACGAAAGAAAGAACGAATCAACAATAATTACGATATTCACCGAACTGTAAAGCATCCCGCGCTACGCAATATTCCTTTTGATCTCAGATGACACGAAATTGAATGATCTTCAATTGTACTTTCCTCTCTTTAAGTTTCATTTCTTTATATTCGTTCTTTTAAGATTTCTTGAAATGAAATAGCAATTCGTTATCGTTTATATTTATTATCTTACACATCGCTTTAAGGGATGTATTATAATTTGAATATATAAAGATAGAGATAATTGCACACATGTTACAATATAGGAAATAAAAATTATATGCATCTATACACATATCGGTGACTATTCGTTAATTATAATCGAGGTTTAGTCTTGGAAAAAATTAATTTATAACTTCATTGCGCTACATACCTATATATCGATTATGCCAGTATATGCCTTGAAAAACATTCAGAACACTGCCCGTTAAATGTCCGAGAGATGAATCGAAACTGGTTTTCTCTTACTTCCGTCTACAGATTTCTTAAAAGAAGCACATGCTCTTTCTCCACTCGAATTCATTGACGATTCATCAGATTTGCAATACGATTTGATTATAACTCCAAATTCTTACTGCGCAAGAAATAGGTTTGTGTGTTGATAATTTTCGTGTTAAGCAAGATTCGAGTTTAGCAAATTCGAATTTATTTTCTTTCTTCTTGCTTTCTGGAGAAATTTATTTATTTTAACGTAAATCACCTTGAAACTAGTGTAGAATTTCTATTTGAATTTCTAATAATATTCAATTCTTAGTCATTGGTTATTTATATTGTAAGAATATTATCTCGAAATGAGTGTACAATTTATAAATGTTACGTTTCATTTCATGGTTCTCAAGTGATATTTATAGAAATAATAAAAATTTAAATGCATTTATAATATTTTATAAAAGAAGACTTCACACAATGAATTGGATAGAATGCTCTATCAATAACTTTTCTTCGTTATTCTAATCAATCTATAAATTAATTTAGCAAATTAGCATTTTAGAAAATTGATTTTTCTAACTTTCAATATGTCAATATCATGTAATATATCTTTTCAATATTGGCGAACAAATGCAATTGTTTTATTTATCAAAAAATTTCAGCCACGATCAACGCGCAATAATTTACGCAACGACATATGAACACACAGCGATTTAAACGACAAAACGATCAAGATCTAGAATCGAATTAATTTTGAATATTTGGAAATGTATTTTACGGTTAAAGGACCACTGACCTATTTTAATTTGTCGCCCCGAAGACAACTTTTATGCCTCGTATCGCTTTCTCTTAAATCCATATTTACATCCTCGCATCTGTCTGTGCTACCTTTCTTAAAAAATGTCGTAAAATAGCTTTGTGCATATTTCTATTGGTATTTAACGACTGTATAAAAATTCACGAACAATTTAAATATTCTATGAGAAAGAATATAATGGTAAGTAAATGGAATAAAAGTAAACTTTTCTTGATTTTAATTAAAGATATAATTGATTATTTAAAATTTATCTTATTGTTTTCTTGAAGATTATTTTTTCGTTTTCAATCTTCGAAAAAAAAAATGCAATTAATATCTAATTACTACATTGATTACTTCATTAAAATCGATGCCTTATTCAGTCGGACTAACACGTATAATTATTAACACGTACTTCATCATCAAGCTCGAATTCCAATCTTTTCTAATAAAGAACAATTTTTACAAACGGATCCTATAATTTTAAACCGTCTCAATCTTACATTTTCTACTCATCTTATCTTTCTGTGTCTCTTCCTTTCCCTTTCTCTTGATCCAGAAACCTCTCCACTTGACAAATCGAAACGGCAAACTTAAATGATAAAAAAAAAAAAAGAAAGAAAGAAAAAAGAAGAAGAAGAAGAAGGCAGCCACACATCGTAACCTTCACCTCGTTGAATCGAGGCCACGCACAAAATAATGTTATGTAGCCAGTGCTCTCGAAATCTTCGATTGTGGTTCGATCCGACGAAAGTAGTGGTAATGGAAGAAGCGGCGACAGAGGGCTCTTCTCTACTCCGATCCTTGCCGATCCTCCATAAGTGCAGAGGGGAAAGCAATGAATGCCGGGGTGGGACATGGGACTTGATCGGTTTGACCGATTCCACGCGATCTATCCCCACGATCGATATAACCTCTCAAGCAGCGGAGGGGTTTTGGCCTCGTTTAACGTTTCACGTGCCGATGAAATCGTACCACCTCCGGGAACGTGAGCTTGTCTGCTACCAGCAGGAGCATCGCCAGACGGACGACACCAAAGTTATAAAGCGGACCGGCGAAGAGGCTACGAGACGCTGCCACTTTGCCGATCGAACTCGTCGTATGACGATCCTTTTCTCGTAAAAAGAATCGAAATATTGATCATTCGGCGACACCTCCCGGTCGGTGTCATCCCTGCTTCCATAAGGGAAATTATCGATACTCGTGTCATGTTACTTTGACAACGCCGCGATCGCGTTGTGCAGGAGAGGAAGAATCAAAGGGGAATCGTATAGGCCGTTTGTGACAATTTCTTTTTCATATTCGACGATAGACATTTTTGATTAATATTTAATCGTAATTGAGATTCGTCGTAATTGGTGTGTGCCGAAGAAGACGAGAAGGAGACACAAGAATACCGTCATTAGCTTCTTAACTCTGATCAGTGTTATACGAGGTAAGAGTTTTCTGTACTAAATTACTATCATTCGGTATTAAAATTAATATCATTAGAAAATAAATTATTTCGTACGTTGATCGCTGATATAAAAAAAAAATAATAAAAATTTTAATAAAATAAAATATCAAAACTTGATATTTGTAAAAAATAAAAATCGAATATTGTAAGACATTTTATCATATGATAAAATGCAATTAATTATTAATAATATATTGTGTTATATTGCATAATCCAATTCATTAGAGCAATTCGTTAAAAGGAATTGATCAAAAAGAAAATGTTACAAGAATATATCATACTTGACGTATAATATATATATATATATATATATATTTCTTTTGCAAGCGCGAAATCAAATGCAAAGCAAGCATAATTATAAATCAATTTTACAATTGAATAGTTTCATAGTTGATATATGATATAGAAAAAATATTTATATACTTTTTTATAATTTTTTAAAAATAATAATTTATTATTATTAAAAAATTAATAATTATTATTAATAATTATTATTATTAAAAAAAAAAGAAAATATAAGGAAAAAATATATTGATTGTGAGATACACGCGGCACGTTTCATTGTTATAAAAAAAAACTGGTTTGTAGGTGATTTCACTCAGCTTCCAAAGATTACGAATTTATTTATCAAAGACTTTCTCTACAAGAGATCATTCGTTATGAATGCTATAAACCATTTGAATCAGCTATTGTCACTATACGTAGTAGAAATGATTAATATGAATCGCAATTTATTTCTAAAGTAGCATAAAAACGTCAGTTTGTTCCACTGGTTTAATCATGAGGAGAGAAATCTGAGAGAGCCTGAAGAAGTTTACCTACATTTCCAATATTTTGATATAAAAATTTTATTTTATATGTTTTCAATTTGATATAAAAAAAAAATATTTCTGAATGGATTGTTAATATTAATTAATGTTAAAAAATTAACAAATTTTCAAGCGATTTGATATTTCTACTTAATATATTACAAAATAAATTATAAATTCCAAAAGATAATCGATACATTAATTAATTCCATATCATTATTGATCAATGATAAAATTTTATAAATGAAATTTTATTAAAAATAATAATAATAATAACAATAATATTTAAATTAATATATTTTCCAAAAAGAAAATTAAAAAATTTGGAAATAATCAAGCATTTTTCGACAAGAAATAGCTGAAACAGCATCATAAGATTTCACAGATTGAATCAACGCCTTATAAAATAGTTTAATTAAAACAAAATGAAAGCTAAATAAGCTATAGCGGAGGGAGAACATACACTTGCACTTGTTACAAGTTCACGGCAACGTTAGATCGTAAATGAAAGTAGACATTCCTACTTTGCCATCGGAGCATCGAATCAGTTTGAAATCAAGCTATTTGAAAGATCTAACGAAACGTGTTTTCACGCAGACGGTATTGGGAGATAGCGTTAGATTTATTCGGTATAACGTGAAAGTTACTACATATGACGTTTCTATCTTTAAGTGAACGACCAGATAATGTATATATAGATAGATATACATAGAAGCTGTTCATAAAGCGTACAATAATGATGGTAAATCGAATGCATGCGCCAATCAATACAGAAAAACTTGTTTCATTTTTATTGCAACAATTCGTTTAATATATTTTCAGTTTTATTAATTTGATGAAAATTGTACTGTAATTTCAAAAAAAATATTATTATTATAGATAAATGTTTCGTAAATATATATATATATGTTGATACTCATTTATTTTATAATTAAGTTTAGAACGTTGAAATATTTCATAGGCAATAAAAATTCTAAAAAATTATATAAAAATTATAATATATTTAAGATATATATTTAACATAAAAAAAAATTTTACGTATTGAAAATATTTAATTTATTTTGATATACACGCAAGATTTGTAAAAAAGATTTAAAAATAAACTTGATTTTTATAAATTATTTTTGCATATATCTATTTATAATATAATAACATTTGGTACAGGTTCAATAATACAACACATAAAATTATATAATACAAATATTTTTGGATTATATATCTTGAATATAATTCACATAATAAAATTTACAGATTTATAAAATTTTTACAGATTTTTTATTGTCATAAAATCTTGTTAGTTAAATATGATTGTTAATTATAATAACATATAAACCTTTATATATCATTATATATATTGCTTTACAATCGATATTTATTTTAATATATATTAATTTTCTTTTCCTAAAAATATAAATATATTATAGTAAAAGTATAAGTGCGTAGATACAAAAGAAATTATTTTTTTTAAGTATTTTTTATTAATAATATATAATTTATTTATAAGAAATTACTTCGCGAAATTATCATTTATAATTAACTTAACTTCCGAATATATTTTATTTATAAATATAGAAAAATTATAAAAAATATATATGTTACAAATTTTTATAAAAAGTTTGTAATTATTATTTTGTTATAGGCAATGGCAAGCTTAATTAATTCTACAGCAACTTTAATAAACGATGCCTACAATTATTATCTTTGGACATTATCCCTCGCTGGTAATTTATTTATTATATTAAAAATGAACATAGTTTTTTATTAGTTTATAATAAAAAATTCATTAAGTTCTTTTCTCAAATAATATACATATATATATAATATACATATATATAGCAAGAAAATTTTTTTAATATAAACATTCGAAGAATAATACTTAAAAAGTCAATAACTGTCAAATTCATTATGTTATAAAGATTTATTCTTAATAAAGTAAAAATATACACATATATATATATATATATATATATATTTATAATTGATGCTAATCTACAGATGAACGAACGAGAGGATGGCTTTTGGTTGATTCCCCGAAACCTACTTTGATATATACAATGTTGTATTTACTCATTGTATGGGCTGGGCCAAAAATCATGAGAAATCGAAAAGCCTTCAAGCTAACATGGGCTCTTGTTCCGTATAATCTTGCAATGGCCTGTCTTAATGCGTACATCGCGATACAAGTATATTTTTTTATTATAAAATTATGATTTTTCATACCGATCGATACTTAATATATCAATTTATTATTTGCAGTTATTCGTAGCATCTACTAGACTACGTTATAGTTATGTGTGTCAACCAATTAGACATGTAACTCGTCCAGATGAATTGCAGGTAAAAAATATTAATTGAAATAAATTTTATACATAAAAAAATATATTTATTTAATGTCAGTTTTTTATTTTCTTTATTAGATTGCTCATGCTGTCTGGTGGTACTACTTTAGCAAACTTTTGGAGTTCTGTGATACATTTTTCTTTATTTTACGGAAAAAAGATAATCAATTAAGCTTCCTTCATGTTTACCATCATTCTACCATGTTTTCGTTATGGTGGATTGGTATTAAGTGGGTACCAAGCGGATCTAGTAAGTAATAATTTATCTATATCAAACTCTCTCTAATCATTTGTAAAAAATGTCAAAAAGATAAAAAATCAGAAATTAATTACATCTATATAAATAGATTAAATTTTTTTAATTTTATTATTTAAAAAAATATATTATTTTTAACTAAAAATAACCTAAAGATTGAAAATAAGAAAAATAATTTATTAATCGTTGTTTATATTCTGATAATTAATTTATTATTTAAACTACTTTATCGAATGAGTTATTTGAATCGTAATTTCTTTTTTTTTTTTTTAATTAATATTGGAATATAAAATTGCATTTATATTCTTTAAGTTTTAAAATTCAGCTATCAAAAAATAAAAACTTTTTTATAAACGAGATAACATTTCGCTCATTCGTTTATTTTTGAGGATTAGTAAAAGTTAATAAACAAAGAAAGTAAAAAGATTTTTACTTTCTCCTTATTATTTTTAATATCTATTCAAATAAAAGAAATAAAATATATTCATATAATTAAAAAATAATAAGTACTTACATTTCTCTAATTACATTGATTTTCTAATTAATGTTTACTATATTGATTATGATTAATATGTAATTTATAATACGTAAAATAAAATTTAAATTTAAATGATATTAAGCAATAAATAAATGTGTTCTAATTGTACTTATTAATTTTAATCGCTTCCATGTAATAAATAAAAAATTTCATAGAAAGTTTGCCGAATTATAAAAAATTATATCTCTTGGTATATATTTACTAGATATCGTAACATCTTTATACATTTATGAATCTTAAAATTACAAGAGAAATCATAGGAACTTGTTTTTACTAAAAATTAAAAATATTTATTGGATACAAATGAATTATTATATTACATATGAATATATATTATAAATGAATACAATTGAATTATGTATTAAATTTATAAGTAAATTTTTATTCTTTAAAGCTATTTTTTTATTTTTTTGGATTAAATGGATATAATTTTTAATTGAAAATATTTATATTTCAGCTTTTCTTCCAGCAATGGTAAACAGTTTTATACATGTCCTTATGTATTCATATTACGGTTTGGCCGCATTGGGACCCTCCGTAGCTAAATATCTCTGGTGGAAAAAATATTTGACGATTCTTCAATTGATCCAGTTTACCACTGCCTTGATTCTTGGCATCAATGGTATTCGATCAGGATGTGATTTTCCACTTTGGATGCAATATGCTCTTGTCATTTACATGATCTCCTTTATCGTTCTATTTGGAAACTTTTATGCCAAAGCTTACATTGCTAAGGTAATCTTCAAAATATTTTCTAAATATATATTTAATAGTTACTTTTTTTTTCTTTTTTAATTCATAAAAAAATTTCGAAATATCAATGTTTTAGGGCAAACAAGCATATGCGGAGAGACAATTAGAAAAAATGAAAGTAGATACTCAATCGAAGAAAGAAATTACTGATGGAACTGTGTGTAATGGAAATATTTCAAATGGACATGCTAACGGATATGCAAATGGTGTATGTAAAAAAATTCAGTGAAAAATGCAATCCAAAGTTCTTTAAAATATTAAAGATCGAATTATGATATACATACTTAGTTATAAAATCAAAGTAAATAGAAATTGGAAAATCGATAACGATAAACCAAATCTATTTGATCAGAATTTTTAGTTCTTACAACTGCCGTTTTGTTCGCGGTGCTTAATACATTATACCGTTACAGAAAAATTGGGTTTAATATAAAAACCCGATATTTCTCTGACGAATTAAATGCGATTATATATCGGCCTGGAATTTTTTTATTTTTGGATCAGCAACATAAACTTTGATAAATTGCTGATCTAAGATATTGTAAATATAAATTAGTCAACTTCATTAGCAGTTTAGTTGTCAGTAGGTGAATATAAGATCCAATGTGATCGTTTACGATAATGTTATATAAGTTTAAACTAAGCGATCTTTTTGTGACCAATAATTAAAATTTGCATTGTAAAAAAAAAAAAAAAATGAAATGAATCGTCACGTCGAAAACTGCCTTGGTTTTTTCTCGCAATAGATCTAAGGTTAGGATTCAAATATGGCGATCACGAAAAGGTTGTACTAACATTTGCACATTTGACGTCTAGTTGATACTTTATCGTGATATTTGAGTATGTTATACGAACTACAACAGCCTCTTTAAATAAATGGAAAATAACATTTTAACATATAAATTACTATTAAAAATTGTAAAAAATTTTGTTAGAATTTTATAGTTATATATCTAACGTTGTCCCTCTTTATACATGATTTTTTCTTATTTAATGAAATTTTTTATGAATATGACTTTTGTGAAGTAATAATAAAATGTTATTACCTTCAAAAATCAATTTGTTTATAACAAATTAGCAGTAATAGTCAAATTTTTATTTGGACATAATGTGAAACAAAAACTAATTCATTATGTCAATTGGTAAGATATTGATAAATTAGCTAAAGATTTATATAAAACATTTTTCTACAATTAATATTTTACAAATACAAATATTATGTGCGCGTAATGTATTATTATGTGTGTAGAAAATTTTACACATTCCATCTAAATATCAAAACAATAAAACTTTTTATACACAGAATTTTCTGGAAATTTGAAAAAAATAGATATTATCGCACAAATGAAAATCGTCCATAAAAACAAAATATCATCATGAAATTTTTAAATTCATTTTTGAATCAAAGTATAAAAAAATACATAAAATATATAATCATTTATAAAATTTAATTGGAATTTTTTATACATGTTTGTTTATTTAAACTACTTTTATAATTATTAAACATTAAAATATTGTTATTATGTTTTATTACTAGCGAAATATGTACAAGAAAGAACATTGCAATTGTTATAAAAAGCGCATTGCTGCGCAATGCAATAAATCAACAAATGCATTATGTTTATTTTCAATAGTTTATCATACCTTTCCAATATTGAAAATCATAAGGTAACAAAATTAGATATACAAATTATAAAATGTACTATGTTATACATATATTGTCACTATAATGTGTCTATGTATTAAAATCGGACTAATTATAATATTGTAATATTCTTACTATATTGTAAGAATATTTGTTTCTTATATAAAATTTTTAGACAATTTTTTTTTGTAATTTACTGCAAGCAATAATATATATACATAAAACTGATTAGTGACAGAAATTTTTATAAATCAAAAAAATAAATTCATTAACAAAAATTTAAATTTTTATATTTTTGATTTACCAAAAATTTTCTAATAAAAATGAATGCTTTCAATTATTAACATTATTATAAATATAAAAAAGAGTAAAATAAAAATATATATTACTTTAAATATATATATAATTAAATTTAGTTTATAACAAAACAGATTATATTTAAATTCATTTTTCTTGTAAATACTTAAATAATCTATTATCAATAGTTTCATAAAGATCTGATTGATGAAAATATAATTCAACCTTTGTTGATGAATGAATATCTACAAATCATTATTATAAATATATATTTCTCTTTTTTCTTACTTTTTAAAATCTAAAAAATTTACATTTATATTCATCTAGGAACTACTATGTTATAATTAATTTTATAAAATTAAATTTTATGAAATATGTTGAATTTATAAAAATTATAATTATAAAAATTTATGTTTTTAAAAAATATATAATTAAAAATAATATAATTATAATTTATAATTTTTTTATATAATTTTATTATGGATTTTTAATTTCATATATACTTACTATGTATTATATATTATATGATTTATTATATAAATCTTATTTGTATACTCATTAGTTTATTCAGAAAAAACTTATATTTTTTTTATTACAATTTTAATAAATTTTGTATCTGATAACATGTAATTGATAACAAAAAATTGCAGATGTATATATCTTTCTAAGAAAAAAAATCATTCTTATTTTTGTCATATATTCTTTTGTATGTGAAATTTTAATAAAAAATATTCATTTAATAAAACATTAAAACTAACATTAATATTTATAATTAAGTAAATATTAAATTAAATATAATAAAAAGAGATTTTTTTTCTACTTTATAAATTGTATATATTATATGTATTGTAATATTAATTTTAATACAATATATAAATATTTAATAAATAAAATATAATCAATAAATATTATTAAATATTAATATATAAACTAATCACGACTTTTAAGAATTATAATGGCCAACCAAACTGAAGAAATTTTGCCAATATAAGGTTGTATTTGACATATCACAACAAATTCAACTGTCTCATTAATATCATAAATCTTTGTTGCATGTAAATGTTCACTCAAATCTTCAATATGACATTCACGTTTGTTTAAAATGAAACCATGAACATGATAAGCTCTATACAACTGTTTCAAATTTTTCTTATCTAATTGTATTTCCAAGGATTGTTCCATTTTAGAAATAAAATTTCTTAAAATAGTTGTTGCATGTCGATTAAAGATTGTTGGTAAACCAAGTGTACTTCTCCAATAAGCTAATTTATCTTTTAAAGATTGCTCTATATCTATAGCAGTTTTTTTTATTTGCTTTTGTTCTTCCTCTGTTATATTTAATTCCAATACTTGAGTAGTATGATCATTTTTTGTTAAAGTAGTAGTTTCAATACATCGCCATTCTTTATTTAATTTTACATCATATTTGAGATTGTGAGGTAAAGTAGATTTCTGCAAATTTTCCCATATCTAAAAATATATTACTTTTAGTAAAAGAAAGCACATGTTATTTTAAATCAATATAATAATAATTGTTTACTGACACCAAAATGATTAATCAAACGAGATACTTTCATTAAAGGACAATGGCTATCATTTAATTTATAATAATTTCCAACTTCAGGATCCCATAATGTATATGTTCCATTTTCGCTAATGCTTAAAACAAATGATGTCCATTTACTTATTTGAGAAGAACCTAAGATATTAATATAATTTCATAAAAAAATTTAATTTCATTTTTTTATATTAAATATATTTTATATAAATATATTAAATATATTTTTTAAAATTATTTCATACCTAATAAAACATACGTTTGTAGATTAAAACCTTGTAATAATACTGCAAGTAAAGCTGCTCTTCCATAATGATCCACTTTTTTAATATTCAATGTTTGACGTGGTGTAATTGGTCCATAATAATTAGGTAATGATGGTAGAAGCATTGTTAATCTTGCAGCATCTTTTGGAGTTTCTATACCATTGATTTTATATGATGTAATAAGACATCGTTGAATTCCTTTTAATAATGTATTTATAGTCATATTGTCAACTGATTTAGGAGTACTTGAATGTTCTATTTTAATCAGAATATAAATTCGCGTACACGATTGGCCAGGACTAGCCTGTATATATCCAAATAATAAACTTGGACTAAATAAAGGAGATAATGTAATCCATCGTTCAAGCTCTTGATAATTTCTGTGATATTCAAGAGGAATTCTAGCTTCACCTAACCATTGTTGACCCCAACCTGGATGTTGATCATACAAACGAAATTTTATACAATTTTCATTGTTTTGTCTTGATTGTAATTCAAAGTACATTGTTTGTTGCCATACAGGTGCTGAACCTTCTGCTATAGAAGTTGAATGTATTATATTACCCCACTCAACTTCTACAAATGGTTGAACTAATGCAGATTCTTCTCTAATTGGTATTTCTATCCCTCGCAGAATAGTAACAGACAAAATTGTCTTTCCTATTGTATGATGTCTGAAGATATTAGATGAAGATTCTAATGGACGTTTAACTTGGAATAAATCTCGAAATGATATATTGAATAAAGAAAATACAGGTTGTTCCATTATGACTATATCTGGTAATTTTATTTGTTCTGTTTCAACTTTTTTAGAAATAATTATTTCCAAATTTGCATTGAAAATTAATGCTGGATCTTCTAGCAAAAAATATTTTACTTGTTTTTTATGAATACTTTTCGGTAACTTAAGTAAGGATAAATTATTTTGTGGATCATTTGGATCGTTACTTAATTTATTAAAATGACTCTTATATAATTCTTCTTTACTTTCACCATAATTACTTAAAGTAATTGTATATATTACTGTTCCAGCATGTATTCTACCAAAACTGTCACCTATTGCAAAATCTATTTCTGTTTTATAGTTTTCAATATTACGTTTCGGCAATGGTAATGGTAATATGCTAGACTGACCACCTTTAATATGTACTTGTATAAAAAGATTATTGCATTCAGAATTTTTAATTAATAATTTATGTAATTTTCTATTAAAAGGACTATTTGCTTTGCATATAATTTTCCTTTTGAATAGTAAATAGACAGATGTAATTTTAACAGAATCACTGTCATCGGTTAAAGTATTAATTTTTACTTCACGAATTATAATTTCTATTAATTTACCAGAAAATTTACGTTTTGACTCATATTCTAAGATTTTCATGTGATTCAAGTTAGAAAGTTTAATATCACTATAAATGAATGGAGTGTCGGAAACGTATAATCCATCTTCAACTAATGTGATTTTTTGATATAATTTACGCAGATTTTTGGTGTCAGTAGTAAAAATATTGATGTTAGAACTTTCGTTTATAATAGGGTATGCATAACAAAGATTTAAATTTTGTTTGTTTTCATCTTTGATATGTTGTGCATATCCTTTAATGAAATCAATATCCTCAGACATATTAATATTGTATTAATTTAAAATAATATTTATTTAATAAAACAACATAAGTTAATCACAAAAATATTAGTAGAAGAAATATTAATAGAATAAAATATTTTTATTATTTTATTCATATACATTCATTTAATGTTTACTTTAAAAACGTTGCTTAGTAACATATAAATAGCGATGAAAACGCCATCTCAGAATTCAATATTACTATGATATATTAAAAAATTAATTTATTATTTATAATAATAATAATTATTATGAATATGACATTTTTTAATACATACATTCATCATCTGAAATGTAATTGTATGTTTTTAAGTCATTCTATATAACATAAATATAATTTTTGTAAGTTTTTATCTAAATTTTAAAATTATATAAAAAATATATATATTATAATAAATGTATATGTATTTAAATAAAGTTAAAAATTATTAATTACATTTCATTTATTATTTAATTAGAAAAAATATTGTGATTTGATTTTATTTATTTTATATTTTATAATCGATTTAAATTTCAAAGATTTTTACATTAACATAAAATAATAATAACATAGAAATAATAATTAATTCTATTTATTTCTATTTATTT